ATTTTCGATACTATTAGACTTACAACTGAAAGTAATACGAATTATTGTGTAATGTACAAAACATATTGTAGTGGTCCATTGGTCTAAAACAAAAATAGATATGCTTAAAACGATGACTTTGCATCCCTTGACATCAGAAAATATCAGAAAGGTCAGCATGCCCTTCCTCCCGTTTGTGCATTCCTTTTCAACCTTCAGATATTTGTGTTTGATGAGCGAAATGGGTTTGTCATTATAGGGCACATCCCCAAGGGCCAAGGCCCCAACAACACGTGATTCAACGTTTCATTAAACAAACATTGGGAATTCCAAAGGGCATTTTAAAAAACTGCAAATCGTAATTCGTAAGAAGCAATTTTTCTTGGATTAATAATTTTGCTGAGCTTTGTGAAATATTTACCCCTTGGCCGGCTGTTCAATCGCTTTAAATGATGAGATTTGTTTTTTGAGAAGCCGTAAGGTTAGAAACGTTTGGGTGCATAGAGCTCATAAATAATGTCTTTAGCAAATATTTTGCAATTATTTCAATTAGACAAATCATTAATTGCTAATTCCATTCTCGGTTGTACCATTTTCAAGAACCATGAAGAGCCTTTTCAACCATTATTAATAGGCATACCTTTACACTCAATTATCTTCCCAAAATGCTACACTGTTCCCTCCAAAAGTTCTTTGTCACTATTTTATTTTTATATATATAGAATACTAGTTTCCGTAACGCGCTTTGCGCGATTGGATAATGCCCAATGTTTTTCGGTAATATAAACTTATAAGTTACTTAATTCTGTTTAAAAAATGATGACTAATAGATCAAGTATTGTAGTTATTATATACAAAGGCAATGTCATTACTCATTAGTGTAAATAATATATTGTGTCGATATGTGAATCTTTTTAGTAGAACCATCATGAGACCTTTGTGTGTAACTGTGTATAGATTACATAAAGCATCATGTTTTATCTGCAACAAGAAGAATCAATAACTTAATGGAGAACTTCAATATAAAATAGAAAACAAACAAAGAAGAAAATGATAGAAACAGTAAGGAAATGCATGGGTTTAAGAGAACGTTTGGTAACACTGTTTTTCGGCTTATCAGCCAACTTTTACACCAAACACGTAACTTTTGTTTTCACGCGCTGAATTGTGTAATAAACAGAAAAAAGTAAGGTTAGAGTTACTTTTTTGGCTGTATTGGCTGAAGTTACGGTAGATGTTCATTTTAGCTATTTTACATATATTTATTTCTTTATTTTATTAATAAAATATATTTTAAATATAATTTTTTCTTAAATCAGCAGAATCAGCCAAACGGGCTCTATATATCAGCTCTAAAAATTGCTAGCGAAAGGAATAAAATGTTAAGTGTGGTTCTTTTCTTGTGTTTGGATTGACAAAATGCAAAGAAATATGTAATGAGATTCATGTGTTTATGTTGATGTTACATAGGTTCAAACCACTTAGTATTGTGATTAATGTATAAAAAATATTTTTTTTGAGGTACAACTATATTATTTTATTTGATTACAAATTTCTCCAATATTTTCTCCCCCAAAATTTCACCCTTTCACAAATGGATGTTTGGGGTATGTTTATATTGCAAAAAAAAATTAGATAACAAAATGGGGAAATGCCGATGATTTAGTTTTAAACCCATGTATTTCCCTGCCGTTTCTATCATTTTCTCCTTTGTTTGCTTTCTATTTTATATTGAAGTTCTCCATTAAGTGACTGATTCTTCTTGATGCAGATAAAACATGATGCTGTATGTAAAACATTATGCTGATGATATTTTCCCGTATGCTTTGTTTAACTTTATAAATGTATAGATTTCATAATCTCTATGAATATAGACATGAATGAATCAAATGAAAACCATTTAGTTCTAGAGCCCGATTGGTAGCACGAAAATCGGCTGATTTGGCTGATTCTGCTGAAATTTATGAAGTTCTAGCTGAAGTGGCTGCATTGGTTGATTATGCTGATTTATGAAAAAAATTATATTTAATATATATCTTATTAATAAAATAAAGAAAAAATTATATGAAAAATAGCTAAAATGATCCTCTACAATAACATCAGCCAATACAACCAGAAAAGTAACTTCAACCTTACTTTTTGTTATTATTACACAACTCAACGCGCGAAACCAAAAATTACGTGTTTGATGAAAAAGTTGGTTGATAAGCCTGATAAGCCGAAAAATTGGCTCACCAAACGGGCTCATAGCCTAAGAGGAGAGAAGACAGTGAGATACAAAAAGTCATACAAAAAATAAAACAGCAAACTGGTTAACCTACAAATAGAAGACCAAAATTAGGTAAAAAAACATAAAGACAATTTGAGAGTTACCTAGCATGACATAAAACCTAAATAAAACAAAGATCAACCTTAGGTGTAATGTCTTTTAAAGGAAACAACTCACCTTAACGGTAACCAAAAAGTACATACTATTGTCATTTGGTGACTTCAGCTCCAAATTTATAAGCTATCGAATACTATTATTTACTACCTTGAATATAGGGATCCTAATCAAACCAAAAGCACCAGCAAGCTTTCAATCATCCCATTGAACAAGAAACATAAACATATGAGCAGTTGAGCACAAGGAATGTATGAGAGCCTCATTTGAAGGGCAAGCACGTTGTACGTATGCTCTTGGGTAATCTGAAGCCCTGTATGAATCTCGACAAAAATCGGTGTTATTAACTTATTAATCATAAAACGTCAATCCTAAGTACGATGAACACATATTCGATTATGGGTGGTAGGAAATTCAGAGAAATCATATGGGGAAGGAATTAAATCGATCAGTCCTATCCACACATGAAATAGCCCATAGAAATTTCATCTCATTTGAAAATTTTAATTCCCTGACTTTCAAGTGAAAACACACTTGTTTTTTCAAGTGAAAACACACAATACACAAAAAAATTCAAAAACTGTATCAATCAATTCGAATGAATTATAAGTAGTAAACTTATTTTCCTGCAAAACTAATCAATTGCATTTCAGTGAGCTAAAAAATATAATTAGAAGGCACGCAAAGGAGAAGAAGATAAGTTGCATACAGAGTCTAAGCATGTTGAATATCAGCTTCCAGAGCTTTGAGTGAATATTCAAAAGACTTCCTAATCACAACAAAAAGCATCAATACTAAAAAGAGTTTGAAATGTTACCAATTACATACTCTATTATAGTCTCACTCACGTTTTCATTTAATTAGAATTTATACCTCTCCACCCTTTAAGGCTACTCCCAACTCTCCTTATATTTATTTAGATGCATAAAAAGCATATGCATATTACTCTAACGTGATCTGTAACCGAAAACTTGGATAAAGTCAATACGGAATAACCCATTATACCTAAAAAAGTTTAAAATAGAAGTGTAGAAAGATTACCTGATTGATAAAGATAAAAGATAATGAATGGCTTATTTTGTGTAATACTTGACTCATTAGCCTTCCCTGCATTGCCATGAGCTCAAGAGTATCATGAGCAGGGAATAATAAAGGCTAATATATTGATTTTTATCAATATATTAGCCAGGGGCGGCCCTGGATATTCGAAGGCCTAGGGGCGAACAATAAAAAAATGGGCCTAATTTTAAAAAAAATTGTAAAACACTTTTCTACCTAAATAAAAATGCAAAATAATAATATTTAAATACCTTTAGAATAAAGAAAATACTTGAATTCGTTAAATTAAACATAGTCGAATAATGTTTTCAAAATAACCGAATAAAAAATTATTTAATGATAAATAACGCCCCGATACAATACACTTGCTAAGGCCGGTGTCATCAACTATAGCGTCATAATCAAGCTTTTCTAAGACATTATTATGCTCAATACTTAATATAGCTAATCAATTAGTTAAATTTATAAATTTAACTAATTGGACTGCACGTTAGTTCTTCCTTTTTTTCAATTTTGGGCCTTTTGTGTTCTTGGGCTTCCTGAACTTGTACAAAATTATTAATTTTGGGTTAAAACTCAGCCTACTCAAATATACTATAAAGAAATAATTCTGGGCCTAAAAAATTTTCATTTTTTTTGGGCCTAGGGCACCCGCCCCACCTGCCCCCCCCCCAGGGCCGCCCCTGATATTAGCTTACATGGTCTAACAACAACAACATCACCAATTGAGCCACTCCTGGCTAGAGTATCCACAAGGCTAAGTGCATGTGCTCACCACAGTACATCTGGATGGGAAAGAAGCAAATTCCTAGTGTTTACCCCAATAACCTCGACCAATGTCAGACATAGGGCATGCTCAGCATCCACTAAACAAACAACAATAGCCTACAAAAGTCTAGAATGAGACGTTTCTCAGCTGGATAAGAAAATAACTTAGGAATAAGAAAAGAAAATAACCTGGAATAACAGATCATCAACCGGTCAGGGACAAGTGAATGAATATGAAGTGCAAATGTTGGATTATTCATGAATAACGAAAAGGTGGAACTATTGTAAAAAGACCCCTAAAAGGTTGATTTATCAGTTTTCATTTCCCCTTTTTGTTTTCATTATGCTATGTTGGTGTTTAGCTCCAATTTTTCAATCATCTCTCTCAATTACTTACTTTCACAAAAGAAAATCTAAATAATTAAATTTTGAGTGTGTGAAGTGAATTACATAATAATCAAAATAGCTAAAATTACGAATTGACTTATTATACGGAGTATAATATGTGATCATTTTACTATTTTCAAATAATTATTTTGTCTTAATATAATATATTTTAGAGATATTACCCGAAATAGGACTAAAAAGGTTTGAAAATTCCAAAATGGGACTGTCATGTTTTTATTCTCAAAATATGACTAATTACTGTTATGTTTTAGCAGTACCAGACTTCAAACATGGCAGTATTTTCCAAACTTGACAGTAATTATTCCTATTTTGAGAATAAAAAATATGTCAGTCCTATTTTGGAATTTTAAAACTGTTTTGGTCCTATTTCGGAAACTTTCCCTATATTTTAAATATAATTTTTAAAATAATCCGGCAATACACAATTCAATAACTCTATTTGTGTATGAGCAAAAGCTGAGAACCAAGCCACCCGGCTTGCTAAAGATGTGTGCTTGATTCACGAATTACTGCGTGGACTTGGAAATGATCTTATGTCGAATAGAACTGTAGAAGTCCCTTCCAAGTTCCAAACTTCCAATATTATGTAAAAAGCCGCAGCTTATGCTGTCTCATTCGGCAGCAAAGAATTGTCATTTGGTCATCCAGAAAATCACTAAACACACATTCGCTGCAAGAGAGCACAGTCGTCACTATAAACCATCCTCAAGTCGACGATATGGTACGGAACTTGATCTTTTCCGTTCTTCCAAGCAGCTAAGTGATCACATGAAAATGGGAAGGATTCAAAACGCGCAGAAGCTGTTTGACGAAATGACTGTTACGAACATTGTGGTTTGGTCAATAATGGTCCACGGGTACTCAAAGAATGGGTTCTATGGTAAAGCCTTGAAATGTTTTAGTACAATGAGGCATTCCGATCTGGTCCCCAATTCTTTTACCTTTGTGGGAGTTCTTGTAGGCGTCTCTGGGCTTGAAGACATTGCACTTTGTCAAGTTGTTCACGGGCTTATAGTGAAGACTGGGTGGGAGATTAACTCTGTTGTGGTCACTGCACTACTTAATACTTACTCAAGGTGTTGGTCCATAGGAGATTCTTACAAGGTTTTCAAAACCATAAAGCCCGAAAGCCAAGTTCCGTGGAATGCAATGATGAGCGCATTTGTGTATAATCAGCTTTTCGAAGAAGTATTGCTCTTGTTTAATAGTTTCAGGGAGTCTGGTTTTGTTCCTAATGCCGTGACAGTAATGACTCTGAGCCAAGTTTGTGTTGCCAAGAAATGTCAGCATCTTTGTGAATCAGTTCATAGTTTTTGTATTAAATTTTGCCTCTTATCTGATATGGAGGTCAGCAATGCAATGCTTTCCATGTATTCAAATTTGACTGACTTAAATGCTGCCAGGCTAGTCTTCAAATCAATGGAAGATAAAGATGTTATTACCTGGTCAACAATGATGGGGCTTTTGGTCCAACTAGAATATACCTCGGATGCTATAAATCTTTTCTTACAAATGAGAGATTTTGGAACCAGTTATGATGGAGGTGTCCTAGTGAATCTCATTTCAGCTTGTGGACTCATGGGAAATTTGAAAATGGGAAAATCTCTTCATTCTCAGACAATCATTAATGGTTATGTATCAGACATACAACTGACTAATTCCATGATATCAATGTATGCAAGATGTGCAGACCTTGATTCTTGTACATTACTTTTTGACCAAACAACTGTGAAGAATGTCGTTTCATGGACAAGTATGATTTATGGGCTTCTGATCAATAGAAGGCCTAGGGAAGCACTTGACTTGTTCATTGGTGCAAGAAAAAAAGAAAACTTATATGCCGATAAGATACTTTTGGTAAATGCATTAGCTGCAGCAGGTGAATTAGGTGCATTAGACTTCTGCATGCAGCTCCACTGCTATGCTTTCCAATCTGGATTTACACTCTACAGATGTGTGCAAAATTGTCTCATATCAGTTTACTCAAAGTGTGGTGATGTGGAACTTGCCCGGAGTGTTTTTATGCATATGACCTCTCTTTGTGATATTATTTCTTGGAATGCAATGATTTACGGGTATGGGATCAATGGCCATGGAAAGACTGCTCTATCACTCTTTATTGAGTTCACGAATTTGGGAGGAATCCCTGATTCCGCCACTTACCTATGTGTTATGAGTGCTTGTAGCCGTGCAGACATGATAAACGAGGGTTTGATTATTTTCAGTAAGATGCTTGAGGAAGAAAATTTAAGAGTTTCTGAGGAGCACTATGGATGTCTTGTTGATTTGCTGTCTCGAGCCGGTTACTTGTCTGATGCCAGTGAGTTAATGGACGGAAGAGATCGAAATGCTTGGAAGGCTTTGTTAAATGGGTGTATGCTTCATGATGATATGAAATTGGCCGAGGTTGCTGCAAGAAGGTTGGATAGATTGGGCGAGTCAGACCGTGGAGAGGATATGGTTATCCTGTCAAATCTTTATAAATCTGTTGGGCGCTTTCAAGATGCTGAAGCCTTGAGGTTGAATATGGCGGGAAAGAAGTCGATGAAAGAACCCGGGTTAAGCTTTCTTATTGGTGGTAATCGGTAATCTATATACTCATGGCTGAAATTTATGTTAGTTCAACCCCATGGGCAGATTCAGAAACTAAGGGAGTGTTTTCCTTTGCTTAAAAAAAGTGCTTTAGAGCTTTTAGATTAAAAAAAGCCAAAAAAGGTGTTTAGTAATCCTAACTTTTGCTTAAAAAAAATGCTTTAAAGTCAAAATCTAAAAGCTAGAGCATACCAACTTCTAATAGCTTCTAGGTAAACTTGTAATTACCTCCAACTTTATGACTAATAATAATGGCAAAAAAATCCCCTAACCCCCCCAACTTTATTCGTATACCTCCCTATGTCCAAAAGTTTAAAGGGTTATTTTGTACTTTTGAAAAAATTATTCCATCATAATCACTTTTTTATCAAACACTCCAACTTTTACATTTTAATTAAAATCACTTCTATTCTCAAACACTACCAACTTTTACTATAAACCACTTTTCCAATTATCTATTAAAAAAATCACTTTTGAAAACCACAAGCAATCGCAAACACTCCCTAATACGGAGTATTAGGGAGAGGGGTATAGGACATATTGAGGTGGTCTGGTAGACCGAATGATGAACGAAAATTCTTTTGGTAGAATTGTTTTTGTTCACGTCATTTTATACACGTTTGTAAGCAGCTGTTTTTGTTTGTGAATAGCCTTTTCACATACAAATCATGTTTCGTCTATGAACATGTTATTCATAAACAAAAATAGCTACTCACATACATGTTTAAGATTGTGTGTACAAAAAAGAGAAATAGTTTTTTTCCTAATTGAAAATGAGGTGACCCTTGTGTAAAAGAATGTGGGGAGCCATGACCCCACCCGAGGAAGTCCATGCGGAAAACCGTAGAGATCAAAAGAGAGAAACAATGCTTCTAAGCAAGCAGAATCCATCATTTCCCTAAAAAGTGTTACTTTCCCTTGAAATTTAGATTTCAGATTTTCGGGAAAGTGGGTTTACATGTGGTCAAGCAGTCCGTATTATTTATTTTCCTTCATTATTTTCATGTAGTGGCAAAATGAACCGGTTTAGATCAATTTTTTTAGCTAAAACTATAGGCTTACAAATCGATCTCAAAATATTTTTAATTGAACTGATTTCAGTCTGAGACCAGATTAGATCAGATCAGACTTCAATAATTGTAAAATGCACATAGAATGAACATATATCAGAACAATTTAGACTAGATCAGAACATGCTAGAACATGTTATCAGAAAATTCAATCCAATTAAAACATGCTCAAATCAAGAACCGATTCGGAGTCAATTTTGACCTAGGGGATAAAAGACATCTAATTGGCTCAAACAAGTTGGCGAATTGAAATTCTGTTATAGGATTCGAATACTTTCCATGAACACGGTATTCCAATTTTACTTTGTAAATGTTTTGATAGGTAGTACTGTAGAAGTATATTTGTATTGCTTATGCTCAATCAAAAATGTTTACCTACGTACAAAATATTTGAAAGAATGTAGATGGTTTTACATTGAAACCATTGTCCTCCACACGTTGGGAATACCGTCTAAAAGTGTGAAAGTAATTGTAATCCAAACTCCCCAAATAAGAGAAGCTTTGATTAAATTGGGAAAAGTTTGTTTTGGTTATTCGTCAAAAAGTGATGTTAAAAGTATGTTCAAAAAGCTGGAGAAATTTGAATTCTTATTGGGCGTGACAATATGATATGAAGCTTTGTGCACACGATTAATCAGGTCAATATTTGATTACAAAATGAAGATATGTCATTGATATTTGTGTTATGAATATTAATAATTTGATTATTTAACCAGGTCAGTAGATTGTTACAAAGTGTTGATATATGCATTGATACAAACAAATTTGCCTATGTATAAAAAATATTTTATACGTAGGTAAACAAATTTACCTGTATACAAAAATATTTGATGCATCTTTTTTATACATAGGTAAATTTGTTTGTATATAAACAATTTTGTATCCATAGGTAAAGTTGTTTGTATACAAAAACTCGTACATTATTTGTCTATATGTAAACAACTTTGTTTATATAGATAAACATTTTTGTAGTTTTTGTACGAGTAGTTTGGTACCGTAATTCCCTCGATCAGACTGGTGGGGTGGCGTGTCACCCCTACCAACTTTCGGCAGCTACTTAGTTATTGTCCAAAAGTGATGCCATTGACTTAACTTACGCTGTTTAACAATCTTTTTTTTTATTCAACCATTCTTGGTGTACACGTTTTTGTACCCATCAGTACACGCATGTGTCTGTGAGAGTTTTTTTTTGTCTGTGAAGCGCGGTCCACAGACATAAGTTCGTTTGTTTTGTCTGTAGAAAATTTCACAGACAAAACAAACCAGCTTTTGTCTGTGGACCGCACTTCACAGACAAAAAAAAACTCTCACAAACACATGCGTGTACTGATGGATACAAAAACGTGTACAAAAGGAATTTTTGTTTTTTATTTATCACAGGTAACAAGTAAAGACTGAATGACTCAATCTGATGTTTATCCAACTAAATCGCATATTAGATATATTATCACAATTATGCATATATTTGTGTTTGATATGCCTTGTCGGCTTCCTCATTTCTTAAGATTTCCTCCAGCACATAATGATAAACATCAATCCAAAATCATTATGGGCTCATTATATTTCTGTGCGAAATGTTTGATCTCTGAAGCTTTGATTGGTAAATGGTAACCCCATTCTCTCAGTTTGCCATTTTAATCGTCTTTTTTTACTAGATTTGATATCGTTTTAACTCTTAAAAGTCGCGTGAGAGAGAGCCGGACCTAGAGGAAACCTTAGGCGGCCATCTCCCACCCCCTTCAAGATCCGATTTTGGAAGACGAAGACATTCTATATGCAATGAAAGATCGAATCAAAAGTTTTTCTATGTTTTGCTTTTTTTCAATTTCTGTTTTCAAGGAATGTGGTCCGTCTTCTTCATTGGCCGAGAATTTTGTCCGCTTCATGTGAGCGCGTGGTGTGTTATTCTCCTAATAATGTCTAGAGGCTGTGCGTTTCTAATCGGTGTAATCGATTTGGTGAAGCTTTTTCAACCTTGTTGTTCTGATGCTTCAAATACTCGCCCACCACCTGAACCACCGCCTCACTCTGGGAAGAAGAAGATGATCAAGCGGATCTCCTTTTCGGTGGCTGGTCAAACCGATATTTCAAGAAATTTCTACTCGACTGGTTTCCCTTTGTTGGTTGCTGGTCAAACCAATTCTCCCTTTCCGGTGGCTGGTGAAGCCGACCGGATCTATTAGTTATAATTTTTTAATTTCTCTTTGGAGTAGCAAGTAGATCAAGGCTGTTAGACTAGACTATATTATTGCGGGATTAGCGATCTGGAAGGATTCATTAAATCTATTCCGTTCTATGTCTCATCCCATTGTAGCTTCAGACTATTGATTCTCTTGTATTTTTGTTATCGCTTAGTAATAAATTAGTTATTTGATTTTTAAAAAAATCGTCTTTTCTTACTAAATATTACGAGTAAATATATAATTTCACGTGTTGAATTATATCATATTCAAAATAAGTATGGATTAACTTCATCAAATGTAAATATATTTTATCAATGAATGTAGCAAAAAATTCAACAATTTCAACCATAATTTATTAGACAATTTCGTATTTGCCATATTTGCCAAACCAACTACGTAGTACTGCGTACAATTTTTACATTTCTTTGAAGAGAATGTCTATAAATATGTTTCTGGAACAACAGTTTATAATTTTCATTCATTAAATTTGTAAGAGTGAGATGTAATGAAAATTAACACATGTTTGGATTTACTTATTGAAACTATTTATGCTCTTTCATGGAGCAAAATCAAATATTAGAGTGTGATTGAAAATGAAATTTTTTTCCATGTATTTAAATTGTTTCTAGAAACCTTTTTTTGTGAAACTGAATGAATTCCAAACACTCATTAGTGATCAAATTCATACTTTGCCTGAATACCAATCTTCATCGAGAGATGAATGAATATATGAAAAAACACTCACAAAGGTTAGTATTTAATTATCTTGAATGAAAATATGAAATACACAAAGGTTTCGTACCTGGCACTTCACTCAAATTTCAGCAACTTGAAACATGTCGTTTATAGAATTTAATTTTTTTTCCATACAAGTAAGACCACTTATTTAGGCTTTAAATAAATAAATACGGAGTAAGAAATAAGAAGTACGAAGTATGATACTTCGTATTACAAGAGCATTAATTATTTTTTAAACGACACCAACACGTTATACTTCAATTGTATATTTTTTGGTCAATACCACTTTTTCTCTTTAGTGAAACGCAAAAAGGAAGAGGAAAGGTTTACTTGTAGGACTAAATTAGGTCAAACGAAGAAGTTGATCATCACCATTAGAGAACATCTTACTGTTACAGAAACCATTAGCAGAAATGAAACACTACCAGATCCACAAAGACAGTGGGCAACAAAATTACAGCTGCACTTAGTGGGGAATTATTAGCCTTAAAATTAATCATTGCCCTTTAGAAAGCCAAAACAGGATTTGACCTTTTTCTTTAGCTCATTTGACCCTCTCCTCAATCACATCCATTCCCATCTCCGTCGGGTCGGTCGCCTGAACTTCATAGGATATTCCGTCCAGCGCTCTCCTCAGCCCGTCTTTCGACGTCGCGTACAGAATTTTCGCTCTGATTCTCGATTCCGACGGGCACCTGCATTTATCATTCATTAATTCAAACATATCTCAATTCAAAATCAGGGGAAAAAAGAAGAATCTTGATTTTCCGGCGGTTACTGATCCTCCCGGCGAACTCGTACCATGCGATAAAGAAGATCTTGCTTTTCCGGCAATTATCGACGGTGACGAAGTCGAAATCGAACACCGCGTACCGGCAGTCGTCTTTGGGGAGGGAGGCGGCGAGATCATCATAGCCCTCGCCGGCTGCGCCGACCTTGTCGACGGTGACCTGCCGAGACTTCTCCTCAATTTTGAAAACTATGTACCTGTGCACCTTTTTCCACTTCATCTCCATGAAAGAGTTTTTGCATTCATCGGTTAAGAACATCCCTGTAGTCGCCTGTTATATACATACAAATTTATCTGTATAATCATCATCATATAACAATAAGTTCAAGGAATATTCCGATCGATGGAAGGTACAAACCATCTTAAAAGCCATGGCCATGGTGGTGGGAAAATCGGAGAAGAAAGAGAGAATCTCGGTTTTGGAGGATTTTGAAGTCGTGCGACGATCAAGGTGCAGAGCAAAAATGGTCAGTGGTGTTTGTTTTTATATCAGTAGTGGGCGAGTACTGA